GGAGGAGGAGGAGGAGGACGAGGAGGACGAGGACGAGGAGGACGAGGAGGACGAGGACGAGGAGGACGAGGACGAGTAGAAAGAGGAGGAGGAGGAGGAGGAGGACGAGGAGGACGAGGACGAGGAGGACGAGGAGGACGAGGACGAGGAGGACGAGGACGAGGAGGACGAGGAGGACGAGGAGGACGAGGTGGTGGTGCTGGTGGTGCTGGTGGTGCTGGTGGTGCTGGTGGTGCTGAACTCACTGCATGGACGCCAGCAGAGACGTGGTGGGGATGAACAACAGGGTGTAAAGCTTCAGGGGTAGTCATGAAGAGGGGTGGGGTGATGTAAGTAGAGAATTTTATACTGTGATGGGGGGTATTTCAGACCTATGTAGTGGGTGGGGTACAAAAATTTGGGGGTGAGTACTCAACTTCGAGGTGATCATGATGGGGTGGGGTGAAGGATAAGGGGTTACGATTCGGTTATTGAAGTAATCCCATTGTAACGGAAACAAAACCGTCACTACGAAGAGACGCGATGCGAAGGAGAAAGAAGAGGGGAGAGGAGAGCAGATGAGATGAGATGAGAGGAGAGGAGATGAGATGAGAGGAGAGGAGAGGAGAGAAGACGAGACGAGATGAGACAGGAGAGAATTGGAGAAGGAACAGAAAACAAGGGACGATTGGTTGAAGGGAGGGCAGCCGAAAGGATTCCATGTGAACATATACAGCTGAGACATGTACATGTTCAAACTCACCAGGGGTGTTGGTTGTATCTGATCGACTTGCTGCAGCTGACCCTTACAGTGTTGTTTATTCCACAGTGGAATAGATAATCCTGCTCATCCTCGCAAGAGGGAGAGGGCCGCAGGTGGGTCTGGTCATGCTCTCCTCTCTCATTCGGGCGGTGATGGAGGTGGCAGGATCATGGCGGTCCAAGATGAAACAGCGCGAATGGAGAGCATGCTTCCTTCTGACTGTCTCTCCATTCAAGAGATTGGAACCGCTGGTGAGCACTAGAGCCTAGCTCCTCGTCACGACTAACGGATGTTGCAGCCGGCGTTTTCATGGTGTTAGCTTGGTTTATTCTTACAGTAACAGCTCTGTTCATGGCATTCAAGGCCGTTCAAGCAGATGTTTCCATCCAGAAGCATTACTACTTGAATGCCTTCATTTGCGGGATTTCGGTGTTCTCCTATTTTGCAATGTTCAGTGGAATGGGTTGGGAGACGGTCGAGGGATGCAGGCAATATTTCTACATAAGGTGCGTGAGGCGATGTCCATCCTTTGGTCCTGTGACGAGAGTTCAGACACTTGGAGTGGGCCCTCACTTGCAGCCTCATCCTCTTCAGCCTCGGGATTTTGGCCGAGCAGGATGTTGCAACAATATTCGCTAGCATGGGGTTTTCAGGTTCGTCCAGTCGCGTGCCGGCTTGCAGGGACGCTGATCTGTGAGCAGTCGGGATGATATACTCGGGATATCTGGCTGCCATCGGCCTGGTGCCTTTGGCCAAGTGGTTGTGGTTCTTTTTCGGCCTTGTTCTCTTCGTCATGGTCGTGTACATCATCCTACGAGAGTTCCGTCAGACGCTGCTCGGTAGTAGGACTTGTCCTCTCCGCCATGTCGTGGTGACCTGCCTCCACAGATAAGGAGAACCCCGACAAGCAACAGCTCTTCGACAAGGCGGCGCTCCTGACTATCGTGACCTGGAGCTTGTACCCCTTGGTGTGGATCCTGGGCCCGGGCATCGGAGCAGTGGGAGTGAGTGTGGAAGCGATCTTGTACTGCTTCCTCGATGTGACTTCCAAGGTAGAGATACGTTCTCATTCATTGCTTGCCCCCTGACTTGCGTGAAGGCCGTGTTCTCGTTCGTGGTCGTCAACGTCTCCCCGTACGAGTCGGCCGAGCCTGCGTATACGGTGGAGAAGGAGTATGTATGATGTACATGGGGGACGGTGGTTTTGCTGAGTGAAGGAAACTGAAAGTGGGAAGACAAGGAGCTTGAGTTGTTGGCTTGGTATTTGTGTTCGACCCTCTACAACTTCGAGAGACTTTAGTTGAGGAAGCGCATCTCGAAATCTGCGGGGCAGTCAATAGAGAGGGAGGGAGGGAGGGAGGGAGGGAGGGAGGGAGGGAGTGGCTGTTCATACCTTTCTCAGAGAAGGAGAGGAGCGATGATAGTCCTATGCTTCTCTTCATCCTCTTCATCGTCTGCAGCTCAACGTCATAATCCCTCTACACCCCCCTTTCCAACTCCTCACCTCCACTCGCGATTTCATCCTGTTCATGCTGTAAAGGAAGACAGTGGGCGACTTGATGATGTCCTCTACACAGTATCCGCCATCGGTGGTGAGGTAGATCATCTGCAGGATCTGCTTTACTCCCCGCCACCTCATATGTCTTCACTCCTTCACCTTTGGTCGCAAGTTGGACGAGACGCTGAGGGTGAGGAGAGACGGGGCCGTGCGAACAGCAGCAACCAGCCTGTGAAAGTGATAAGCAATGCACGAGGGGAGGAGGAGCGGCGGCGTTTACTTGTCCAACGGGACTCCGAGCTCCTGGAGGAAGAAGTCGATCTTGGGCTCCAAGTTCTTGTGCACGTTGAGGCCGAGGATTTGAGGGGTCTGGAGGATGAGCCGCGTCAAGTCCTCCTTCGTCATCCTCAGGGTGTCCATAAGGAACTGGGTCGTCGGCTTGATGTTCGCCTCCAGGCTCAGCCCGAGCAGCTGCGGGAACTTGTAGAGGATGCTCCCTATGGCCTCCGGCTCCAGCTCGAACTCCAGCTTGAGGAAGTTGATCTTCTGACGCAGGTTGAACTCCACGTTGTAGCTCATGAGCAAGGGGAACATCTCGATCACCTCGCCGACCTTGCTCCTTGGGATGCCTCCCTCGATGATCAGGAACTCCAGCGTGCTGATCATGCTCGACTGCAGGCCGCTCATTAGCATCTGCGGGTTTCTCGACAGGCACCGTCCGACCCTCTCCTCCCGCACCCCGATCTCGATGAGGAACGCAACCAAGTCCTGTACGAGGAACCTGCCGGTGAGGAGGAGATCTGGGGCCTTGAGAACGAGCACGGGGATCTTGGACTTGGGGACGCCCATCTCCAGGAGGAACTCAACATTCTTGCGCAGGGTGAAGTCAACTGAGGACTCGAAGACTTCGGGGTGTGCGATGGCCAGCGGCTCCAGCTTGCTGGGGGGACGCTGACTTCGTTGGCGAGGAAGTAGACTACTTCCCTCACTTGCTTCTCCGGAGTGCTTGTCCAACGAAGAATGTCTCGCATGTACTTGTCAACTCCAAAGTTCCCAACCCCTGGCTGCTCGTTGGCGTCCACAAGTTCCATCGGCTCTGCCTTCTGCTCGTCCTGCAAGCGACAAGTCACAGAGCATCGTCAGAACAGAAGTGATCATACCGGAGAAAAAGCAGAGCTCGCGCCATACGTCCATCCCGAGACAAGCTTGCTGCGCTGCTCGAGGGTAGGAGGTGGGGGTAACTTGCCTGGCACAGCGACCTTGCGCTCGAGATCGGGTTCAGTCCTCTCAAGCTCGATCTCCTCCTGCTTCGCTCCTTTCATCCACTTGAAGAATTCTCTCGCCTGCACATAGAGGTTGCGTTGGCTGGCTCCCATCTCCTTGAAGATCATCCTCTTCTCGGCTTCAGAGAGCATGAATGGGCGCAGGCCCATCCTCTCCAGCAGCGACTGGAACTCGCTCCAGTCGATCACGCCGTCCTTGTCGATGTCAAACTGCGAGAAGAACTTTCGTAGGTCCTGCAGCCCCAGCTCGTACGAAGAGGCTCGGATCCTGCGCTTCATGGTCTGATAGATCGCTTCTCGGTCCATATGCTTTTTGTTCAGCTCTGCTCGCTGCTCACTGAGAGGACGAGAGTTGATGAAGTCAAGGCGTTTGTCTCTGAAAGACGCATCCATCGCATACCCTTGACACGTCACTGCTGTTCTTGTCTTGCATGCAGCATGGCTTGGCCGCAAACAACTCTGGAGCTTCGAGTTCGACCAGAAACGTGAGAGCAAGTGCAGGTGGTTCACGAAGGCCAGGGATGGATGGCTTTCAGTCATACACGTCAAGACATCACACAGAACCAGTAGGACAATGGTCTTGATGACGAAGTTTCGCATCCTCACAACCTTGTTGTTCAGATCTCAACCACGGTTTTACAACTTTCCCGCCACGTGCCTTACACCCAGGTCTCCTCCTTCATCATGGGGCATCTGACGGCACTCCATGACATCTCCTTGTCAGACCCTTCCTCCTTGATGCTTCTTCTTCCCTCCTTGATGCTTCTTCTTCCCTCCTCGATGCTTCCTACTGCAGTACTTCCCTGCCTCCCTGCAGATGGATCCTTCCCTTTATACCCTACCCCCAGTACAGCAGCACCCCACACATATCTTTCTGTACCCCTTATTTTCCATCAAGATATGTGGACTATTGATGGGTATCAAAACTACCCCACCTGTCTGAACAAACAAGGAACAGTCTGCGAATCGTCCATACTTGTTACACAGCTGTGCAAACGAAGCAGCGGCATCTTCGTATTGTTGCTGCTGCTGTTTGTCATCCACACACTCACGAGCCTTGTCGTCATCGTTTTACTCGCTCATCTCACCAGAACTGAGACTTGCTGTGAAGCTAGACTGTCATGTTAAGGTTCCGCCTGCGAGACTACTACTTGTAACAGTGACGACGATGTTAAGGTTTGTAGTTTTCGACAGCATAACTATTTAATAGAATACCAGACTACGATCAAAAAGTGAATAAGAAGATGTGGTGAGAGCCGACTCAAGGCTACGAGCATGGGGTTACGACCTGATCTGTACAAGTATTGTCCTGGGTGCCGTTCTGTAACCCCAACAAAGTGAGATAACAACAAGAATTAAGATGTCAAATTCACCGTCCACTCAGTGCGCGTTGCCTTCCATTCCTTCCTTGCTTTCCCACCAGAGTGATTGGACTCTGCACACATTCTCAGTTTCAATAGCAACACATCGCATCACAAGCACCTGGAGAAGCAGTATCTTCAGAGTAGCCATTCTGATCGTCAGTTCCAGTCTCCTCGTCAAGGTCATTTGAAGCTGGTTGCGCTTCTTCCACGTCCTTCTCATCATCTTGATCACCTTCGACAGCATCGGACGAAGCTGCCGGGGATTGCTTTGCTGCGGATGCCTTCTTGGATTGACCAGCCCGCTGTTTCTCCCATTCAATCTGCGTCTTGGATTTCTCTGCGAAACGAATCGAGAGCTTGCCATGCAGAGGGCAGAGTGACTTATTCTCCTTCCCATTCAAAGACTTCAAAGTCGCATGTGCAGAATCCTTGTCGCTGAAAGTCACGAAACCAAAGCCTCGGGAGAGCTTCGTATCGTTGTCTCGAACCAAATAAACATCTGTGATAGTACCGAAGTCCTTGAAGTATGAGCTCAGGTCCTCTTCGGTGCACCGAATAGCCAGACCACCCACAAAGAGTTGACAGCCAGCAGCGATTGCCGCCATTCGCTTATCCATCAACTTCCTCTCTTCTTGCTTCTGCTGAGCTCGTTGCTTGCGCTCTTCCTTAAGTTTTTCAGCTTTTGCAGCTCTTTCGGCCTGCCTCTTTCGGTATTCAACTTTTTCAACCTTTCTCTCGTAGCTTGCAAGCGCACGCTTGTATTCCCTGCAAGAAACAATCATACTGTTGCAAAATCCTTTGAAAAGTGGATTACCTATACTCCGCCATTTTTATCTTGTAGGCAACATGTGCATTGTTGATTGACTGCCGGTTTGCTTTAATCTCTTCGATCACCTTAGCTTTTTCTCCCAGCAAGTCGGTAACCTTTTGACTGGGATTGACTCCGTCAGGAACCCCATCTCCACTACGAAGTGACTCCAAACGAGAAACAAGTTCCTTTTCCTTCTCACGGAGAGCGTTGAAGTTTTCGGTCTTCGACTTGCGAAGGCTGTAAAGATCGTCGATCTCCTTCTTCTTCTCGGCAACCGCGTCACGCTCAGTCTTCCATTCCTTGATTCTCTCCTTGTCACCAGTGAGCTTTTTGATTTCACGAATGATCTCTTTCTCTGTCTTGAGATCATTTGTGTTTGTCTCAAGCTTGGTATTCAAATCTGCAATCATTTGGTCGATTTCCATGACATCTACTGATCGTAGTTCTTTCCTCATTTTTTGGACACGAGCTTCATTCAACTTGTTCCTGTCCTGAAGCTTCTTGACCTCTTCCATGAGTTTTTCACGCTCCTTGGCGACTTCGCGAAGGACTTCGCGGTGGGATTTTAACTCATTACGAACCTCATTAATTTCAGCATTGAAGGCTCCCCTCTTGGCTTTGTACTGCTCGATTTCTTCGTCAAGTTGAAGCTGGCGAAAAATCGTGTCACATCAAGGTTCAAAACACATCGCATTATATTTCACTTACAAGGATCTTCTCTTTGGCCTCATTCGACTCACGAAATGCCTTGACTGCTTCCAGATGCTCAGCCTCGTCGGGCTCTGGCACAGGAGAGGGAGGTTGGAGATCGGCAACCTCCTCCTCGACCATGGAGTGGTCAGCACCGTTAGCTGTGGGATTCTGCTGGTTCTTAGGATTGGGCATGTGGTTTCTCTGTCCCTTCTGGGTGGATGATGGTGAGGAGATGTCGGCAGATGCAGATGCGCTTCCTGCGGCCATACCGCGTCTGCAGGCGGGAAGGGATGGTGCGGTTAAGAAGGCAGGTGGAAAAAAGGGGGTGGGGGTAGGGATATCGCTATCAATGATAGGGGTGGTAAACTAGGGAGACAGGGGTTTATCGACGTGGGGTAGTTGGTCGAGAACGAGTGGGGTATGTGAGATTTCAAACTTGGAGATACGTTTTTTCATTAGAGGTATTTGCTCTCCGAAATTTGATCCCCAGAAGAAATATTTCTAGATTTCGAAAATAATATTTCCTACAAGTTGAATGTTTCTTTCTTTCAAAATGAAATTATCTACGTATATTTGGCACATTGATGATAAAATTGAACTTTACTATGTAATTAAAAAAATCACAGGGACCCTTGAAGCAAATTCCTATCAGAACGTTTAATAGCCCGACCTTCGACTTGAAAGCCTGGGCACCAGGTTAGGTTGGGTGGTGGAAATAGGAGAGAGGGGGTAGTTCGGTACGAGAGAGCTACTCTATTCCTATGGGTAGGGTACTAAATGCTGGTATCAAAGGGGGTGACTATCAACGAGACTGAGTTCCGTCTCAAGGGTGGGTACAAACGTCTACAAGTCCACGGTAGGCATGGTACAACCCTATCCAAGGGGGTGGGTTCATTATCAGGAGGGGTAGGTTGAATGTGCGAGGTGGGGGGCGGCTGTTCACGTGTGAGAGGTTTGGTACCATATTTGGTTGAGTTAAATTATCGAGGCTGGCTGCAGCAATGGTGGAGGTAGGGTCCCAAGATCATATACAGGGTATGGGGATGGGTAGGTGGTGGGGGTCCCATGATTGAGATTTTCAAATGTTTTTTTTGGTAGTTGGCGGCAGTTTTGCTGTAGCGGAGGGTAGTATGGGGAGAGGAAAAGCCTGGGGGTTATGTTAGAGTAGTCGTATCTCATGGGGTAGGGTATTCACAGGGTGGGGTGTACCATTTTACTTCGACTGAAGGGGTAGTGAAAATCATAAAAACATGATACCGGTACCGACTCCTGTTAAAATGAGGGTACTTTGCATAAATTGAAACAGATCACTCAACTTTAACGGTAAATGGATGAGAATATGGAGGGGTAGTGGAGCAAGGCGTAGAGGTAGAGGAGGAGGTTGTTTGAATTTCCCTGGACGGGTGATCCAGCTAATAAGTGTTTTAGAGTGGTGGAGTCTTGGAATTCAAGGGTGGGGTGGTAGTCCACGGGGGTTGGTGTGTTCATGGAGAGGTAGGGGTCATCTAACCTTTATGTGGGCGAGAAGTAACCATGACGGGTGCTGCTGACCTCCAAGAGTCATCGGCTATGAAATGAGGGGGTGGGGTCTGTCAGCTTCCGACTGATCATGTGTGGCGGCACCTGACGCCCGCAGCAACGCAGTGACTCGATGTCCGCCGCCGGGGCCGCCGGCTCGGACACCGTCACCGGGCGGTGGCCTGGTCGGGCCGCCACCGGGCCGCCGGGCCATCATCTGAGTAGCGCTAGGCTCTGAGTCGGACCCGGTCGGACCGGGCACCGGCGTTGAGCGCCGGCGGCCCGGGGCCCGGCCCGGGGCGGCATGACCGTCCGATCGGTGCGGCCGCGGCGGCCTCCGAGTCCGGGCCTCCGCGCCCTGCCCCCGGCGGCCGGGCCCTGAGTGCCGCAGTGCCGCGCATCGCCGGGTCGCTCAGTAAACTTGTCGGAAAAGTCACCGTCTAACGGTAGCTGAGCTGCCGGGCCGCCCGACGGGCCCGGGCTGGCACTGAGGCTTGCGCCCGGGGGCGCCTCGGATCATGGATCCGATACCGTGCCGGCCCCACCGAGGCCCCGCCGGCCGCGCCCCGGCCCGGCGGCCGGACTCCCCGGGCTGGCCGGTCGGCCCGTGACCCCGCCGGCCCGGCCGTCCGTCCTCCGATGGCAGCACCGTCCAACTTCGGACGTTCCGGGCCAGTGGCCCAGTGGCCCCGTGACAGGCTCCCGCCGCGCCATCATGCCGGGGCTGCGTCTACCGCCCCCGGGCCGGCCCGGCGCGCCGCGGGCCGCTCCGACTCATCACTGAGTCAGTCAGTGTCTGAGACTGATACAAGTCAGACGGTGGACCGTTCACGGTGCGCGGCCCGGCGTCAAGTTGATCCTGCCGCTCGCCCACGGCAACTCGCCTCCGAGACCCGACTCCTATATTGAACGGGAAGTATACAAAAGGGGGGTGGTTTAGTGGGTGAAAGGGGGGTGGGGGAGCATGACAGTGTCGAACTTGGTTTGACTCTTCATCTTTGTCCATGTCCGATGTAAACCAGAGAAGGGAAGGAGCGAAGAGCAGAAGTAGCTGATTCTTCAAGCAGCAACGTTGAAACTATTCCAGAGAGGTGAACAGAAACAGAGCTTCCTGGGCTTTCAGCGGTAGACAGGACGATCTTGGAGAGTCGAAGTTTGACAAGATTCTTTGCCGCGAAAGATTTCAAATGCTGTCTGTTATGGGACTCTATGACTTAGCAATACATTCGAAAGATTCGAGGGAGGCTGAGCAGGTGATGATTATAGCTTAAGATACATGTTTCCATGCCCTGTACGAGAGCGAAGTCCACAGAGATAACCATTGACAGCAAAGTAATTAGTTTGCTCCGAAGTCAAAGTATATATCTGTGAGCCATTGCGAAAAAAAGCTATTGTATGTTACTTAGCAGCCTGTGGACGCAGGAGTGATCGCGCCATGGTGTCAAGCCCTTGATCCTTCCAGCCCTTCACCAACCTTCCGTTCCTACTGCATTCATGGCATACCGATTCCCTCCCAGCATCCTTCGAGCTTCCCGTCATCACGTAGCGCTCAGCTTGCTCGCCTGCTCGCTCGCTGTGCTCTGTATCCTCGGATGGCAACACGCGGTGAGTCCCCCCACCCCCCACCCCTCTCTCTCTGTGTGTGTCTCTCTCTCTGTCTGTCTCTCTGTCTCTCTCTCTCTCTCTCTCTCTCTCTCTCTCTCTCTCTCTCTCTCTCTCGCTCAGTC